ATAAGATTGCCTACCTTGTTGGGCTCTTTGAGGATAGAATAATATTTGTAAAGTACGTAACACAGCACCTCATTCCTTAGCCAACTTGATGGTTGCTGTTAGAAGATGCTTTTTAAAACTTTTCATGATAACCTTTTTTAAAAAGTAAAACTCAATTTTTAAAAATTGACAATGTGTTGAATTATAGTAAGAAGGAGACTTCGGAGACTAAATACTTTAAAAAAATTTTCTTTTGACTTTTATACACTAGAGAGAACACAATTAGTAATAATATTCCTTACTGTGATGGTAGAGTGTTTTGCACGTGTGTTATCTAATTCAGTACCCACCAAGACATAAGTCTGTTGAGCTCTTGAATTGTGTGTCTCTTGCAACCGAAGAACTGAGTTTTAAGTTTCTATTAAATTTTAATTAAATTTAACAACCACAGGTGGCTGCCTGGTGGCTACGGTATTGGACAGTGCCATGCTAGGTATTTATGTCTATGGCACTTTTTACAGAAACACGTGGACCTCAAATTGTGGAATTAAGGAGTCATTAACTTAATATTAATTAAAGAAGTCTATATTTTAATACATTTTAAATTATAGGTGGCTAATATATTTTCTTTTTATATAAATATCTAAATAAGGAGATGGGAGTTTATTTTTGAGACCATGCTACTAAGCAGAGAAAGCTGTGAAATGACATGTTTGTGGGAGAGCAGATCTCAGCCAAATTAGATCATAGCCTCATTTATTCATTCATTCATTTATCCATCCATTCATTCATTCATTCATTCATTCATTCAAGAAATACTTATTGAGTGCCTAATGTATACCATGCCTAGGCCTTGGGATACAAAACACAGACACAGTCCTACCCTCCCGAAGCTCTCCCTTCAGCGCTGAGGAGAGCCTCTCATCATTTGGTGCCTCTTTGGGTTGGGTTCCACTGGATGTCAGCAAGCCACAGCGCGAGCTCTGCAGAGACGAGGGAAGGCGCTGGCCCGAGGCCCTGGCTTTGACTGCTGCCAGTACCCTGACCTTCCTTCCTTGAGTAATGGAAAAAGCTTCAGAGGAAAACCGTTCATTCGGCTGTGAAAGTGCTTTCTTTAGCAGTGTCACCTTATTTTTTCCTTCAGTCTGCTGAGGGTTGTGATACTGGTAGGGGAAAAAATGAGGTCTGCACGTGTCCTACAAGTGCACACAATGTTTATGTGAAAAAGCCAAGAATCAGCCCTTTAGAAGTGACAGTTAAGATGCTCAGAATCATGATGAGCCATTGCTGCCTCATTCTTCTGCCTTTGAGGGAAGGTCCGAATAGTTTAGTTACCCTATCTTCTGGCTCTTTTAAAAATACGCATTTTTATTGATTTCAGAGAGGAAGAGAGAGGGAGAGAGAGATAGAAACATCAACAATGAGAGAGAATCATTGATTGGCTGCCTCCTGCATGCCCCACACTGGGGATTGAGCCCACAACCCAAGCATGTGCCCTGACCGGGAATCGAACCTGTGACCTCCTGTGATCGATGCTCAACCACTGAGCCACGTGGGCCAGACCTATCTTATAGCTTTTATATGACCTCTTCAAAAGAGTTCTTGCTTCTTAGTCTTGGCCTTTTATTTGATTTGTTTTATTCTTTTTATTCTTCTACATTTTCAAACTTTTATAGTATTAACATGCATTACGTTTGTAATAAATCAAAGCATAATAAATTATATTGTAAGAAACAGTCCAGTTTGAGAGATAATGAATGCCTGAAATGATTTGATGGAAGCAGAGCTCAAGAAGAGAGAGTGCATTTGAAAGGAGAGATGCAGGAAAGAGAACTGACAGGGTCTAGTTATAATAGTGGGAGGGAGTCAAATAATAGACACTTGTTTTATGTAATTGTGATCTCTTCTAAAGAAAGATAATGGCAGCGTAACGAAGATTTTTTTAAACTTATATATATTCACAGCAGTCAAATGTGAAATATGTCGCATTATTTTCAATCACTCATCTGTTTAAGATGATTTACCAAGTATTTTTTAGTCCACAATATTAATAAGTGTACATTTGGGATTATTACAATTGCTTAGGTGAAATAGGGGAGTTTATTTTCTTGTACACCCTTTGTTTTCAGTGTACCTGCATTTAGTGATAACAAAACCCTATTGTGAGAGTGTCTTAGCATGACAGACACTAACCTGAGAAAAAAGAGAAGGCCCAAAAGAAAAAAGCCTAAAACGGAATGTTTGAGGAGCATTAACCGTACCACATTCACCAGACTGGCAGCCTTCCCCTCTTGGCAGAGGTGTTAAAAGTGTATTTCCATGCTTTGAAGGAAAGATTTTATAGTGGGCTTCTGCAACTCACCTCTGATGTCCAGTTACGGGATCAGAATGTTCCAGTCATGTTGATAACCTTCAGAGAAACAAAATCTCATGAGTGTGAAACCAGACACGAAAGGGGGACCCAGGGCTACCTGTCACGACTGGGCCAATCAGCAGAGACAAAGTTGAATCTTTTTTATTTTTTAAAAATATATTTTCTTGATTTTTTACAGAGAGGAAGGGAGAGGGATAGAGAGTTAGAAACATCGATGAGAGAGAAACATCGATCAGCTGCCTCCTGCACACCCCGCACTGGGGATGTGCCCGCAACCAAGGTACATGCCCTTGACCGGAATCAAACCTGGGACCCTTGAGTCCGCAGGCTGATGCTCTATCCACTGAGCCAAACCGGCCAGGGCAAGGTTGAATCTTTTATGTGCGTTTATTTATTCGATTTGCTGGCCATTGGAGAGAGCAGCAGGTATGATACCTTGAAAAACTGCTCTAACATCTCCTGCCAGTTGGCGGAATATGCTAGTAAGTAGGGAGGAAAGAAGGCTCCCTGCAGCTGAGGAAGGCAGCAAGGTAGGGGGAGGAGGGTATGTGCTTAGTGCATCTTTCCCAGGACCTTGCCAGTACAGTGCCACGATAGCCATCCTGTTCCCAGAATTGGAGAACACGAGACATTCCTGAGGCAAACTCCCGAAGGGGTCAGCATCTGGGCTCAGGGACCAGGTCAAAGTGAACCTTCTTTTAATCTTGAAAAGAACAGACAGGAGAACCAAGATGGCGGCATAGGTTAATGCCGGAGTTTGCTGCTTTGAACAACTACTTCAAAAGTGAAACCAAAAAACGGAAGGGACATCACCCAGAACCACAGGAACGCTGGCTGAGTGGAAGTCCTACAACTAGGAGGAAAGAGAAACGCATACGGACACTCAGAGGAGGCGCAGTGCTGAAGTCAAATTCTGAGGTGCGGAGTGCGCGGAGCGGACTGGCGGCGGAGGGCGCGGTTGGCGTTTTCAATCGGGAGGGAGTCGCAGACTCTGAGCTCCAGATCCGGGCGAGTCTTTAGGGACCCAGACTCAAACGGGAGAAGCGGGACTGTCTGGCTTCGGTCAGAGCGAGTGCAGCTTTCTCTCTGAGCTTTGCAGCGGGTGCTGGGACTCAGAGAGGCAGAGCCCCTGGGGACAGGACTGAGAGCCGCCATAACTGCTCTCTCCGGCCCACCCTGTTGATCCTGTTCGACCCGCCCCGCCCAAGCCCTGCACAGAGGCATTTGCCGGATAGCCTCAGGCAAAGGCTAGATTAGCACCTCCCTAGAGGACAGAAGTTCTCTCACTGCTGACACAGCTGATTCTCATAGCCACTTGGCCTGGAGGTCAAACCCTCCCTGGAATTAGCTACAACAATCAAGATTTAACTATAAGACTGCGAACAAAGACCACTAGGGGGTGCACCAAGGAAGCATAACAAAATGCGGAGACAAAGAAACAGGACAAAATTGTCAATGGAAGATTTAGAGTTCAGAACCGCACTTTTAAGGTCTCTCAAGAACTGTTTAGAAGCCGCCGATAAACTTAATGAGATCTACAAGAAAACTAATGTGACCCTCGATCTTATATTGGGGAACCAACTAGAAATTAAGCATACACGGACTGAAATAACGAATATTATACAGACTCCCGACAGCAGACCAGAGGAGCGCAAGAATCAAGTCAATGATTTGAAATGCGAGGAAGCAAAAAACACCCAACCGGAAAAGCAAAATGAAAAAAGAATCCAAAAATGCGAGCATAGTGTAAGGAGCCTCTGGGACAGCTTCAAGCGTACCAACATCAGAATTATAGGGGTGCCAGAAGATGAGAGAGAGCAAGATATTGAAAACCTATTTGAAGAAATAATGACAGAAAACTTCCCCCACCTGGTGAAAGAAATGGACTTACAGGTCCAAGAAGCGCGGAGAACCCCAAACAAAAGGAATCCAAAGAGGACCACACCAAGACACATCATAATTAAAATGCCAAGAGCAAAAGATAAAGAGAGAATCTTAAAAACAGCAAGAGAAAGAAACTCAGTTACCTACAAGGGAATACCCATACGACTATCAGCTGATTTCTCAACAGAAACTTTGCAGGCCAGAAGGGAGTGGCAAGAAATATTCAAAGTGATGAATACCAAGAACCTACAACCAAGATTACTTTATCCAGCAAAGCTATCATTCAGAATTGAAGGTCAGATAAAGAGCTTCACAGATAAGGAAAAGCTAAAGGAGTTCATCACCACCAAACCAGGATTATTTGAAATGCTGAAAGGTATCCTTTAAGAAGAGGAAGAGGAAGAGGAAGAAAAAGGTAAAGATACAAATTATGAACAACAAATATGCATCTATCAACAAGTGAATCTAAGAATCAAGTGAATAAATAATCTGATGAACAGAATGAACTGTTGATTATAATAGAATCAGGGACATAGAAAGGGAATGGACTGACTATTCCTGGGGGGGAAAGGGGTGTGGGAGATGCGGGAAGAGACTGGGCAAAAATCGTGCACCTATGGATGAGGACAGTGGGTGGGGAGTGAGGGCGGAGGGTGGGGCGGGAACTGGGAGGAGGGGAGTTATGGGGGGGAAAAAAAGAGGAACAAATGTAATAATCTGAACAATAAAGATTTAATTTAAAAAAAAAAAAAAAAAAGAACAGACAAGATTTTGAATACGCGTGAAACTGCTAGTGCCCCACTCTGTCCCCTCCCTGCCCTATCACTTCCCCGCTGTCAGGATTGCCATTTTATATCTGTGAGACTAGTTTCAGATGGAAGCTCTGTCCCTGTTGAAGAGCTTTCTCCTTCGCTTCAGAGATCGCAGTAAGGAGATACAGCGCATGCGGGACCTGAAGTGGAAAAAATATAGACAGCAACAACAAGCTGCAAAAAATAAAGGAAGGAAAATTATAACGAATAGGTCAGTCCCGGAAAAGCCCTCACATGGCTTTGTCTTGGAGATGGTCTCGTTGACTTGCTGAGTGTTATGTTCTGTCAGCTGAGAACCGTCAGAAAGGTTAAAACAACATAGTCCTTGGAAGTGATCGCATCCACGATGATGTCGTAATAGTATGTAATCAAGTGCCGCTCGGTGTTCTAGCACTGCCTCCCCAACCTGACCCAGTTCTAGGTTTTTGGCACTGACAGCCCTGGCGGTGGTGTTAAGGGCCTTGATGATGCTGCAAGCCAGCCGACCTTTTTCTACTTGGGGAGAAGTTACCATGACCGACGTGACAAAAACGGTGAAAGAAACATATTCAGCAGGGCTCCACAAATGAAGGTTGTCATTGCAGGCCGCAGGCAGGGTCATCGCCAGGTATTGTTCAGCTTGGGTGACGGGATGTTTCTGAGGCATAAGAACAGTCAGCCGCCCTAAAGAGCACGGCCCCCCTGTGCTGTTAGCGGGGATGTAGGTATAAACAGTGAGACCACATATGAGGAACCAACCGGCTGGCAATCTGGTATGTCCACTTCCATAAGAGATAGATGAGTTATCAGAACAGCTCATATTGTAATCATGAAACAAGGAGAGACAGTACCTAGTACAGCCAGTGAAATAGAGACATTCACCACTGGGGACCACTGCTGCAATCTTCAGAGAAAACATGTCCTTGTCTTTTTGTTGGACACTTGGTCCTACTGCATAAAGGTCCCAATAAGTTATCTCTTTTCTAAAATGCCTAAAATGAGTATAATTTTTTATATTAGCAATTGGTGTCCCAATTCCGATTAGGCCCGACGCGAAAGTCTGTTTTACAGAAATTCCACCCGAAAGGCAAAAGTCAGAGACATTAAGCACATTCCTTGCCAAATAGACCCAGATATTCTCATCTCTCTTCAGAGGAATTATCTCTCCTGATGCTGGGATGGTAAGAAGCAAAACCAGGATTAGGACAAGGGCTGTCTTTGGAGGACAACTTTTAGGTCCTCCTTGGCTTTCACGGTCCACTCTTCCTCTGGTGCCCTGTTGACGCGGGTGTGATGGATCTAGGCTTTTATTCCTGCTGGCTTCAAAGCAGCTGGGGTGGCCAGGAGGACATCCCATGGCCTGGTCTCTCTCTCTTCCAGTGGACCTTCTGGTGATCCAGTTTTCCATGGCTTGAGTAAGACTTTGCCTCTTGCTTCAAAGGGCTGCAGTGGACCTGTGACAAAAAGACCCAGAGGTGCCAAATCATCAATTATAGTTAATGTTTGAACAAGATGTTGGACATAACTTTTATTTGTAACCTTCATATCATGATCTATATATACACCTCCTGTTGCTATCGTGACCTGAAATGGTCAGCCGTATATTATTTCGTAGGGACTTGACTTAAGCCAATCCTGCTTCAGGGAGCTACTCGCATCCTGAGCAGGGCAATTGGTAAACACCTGACCCCAGTGTAGGTGAGGTTCCTGACACAGCTGTATTTTTCTTGAAGGTATGGTTAATTTTTTCAACTCTTCCTGAGGCCTGTGGTCTCCGTGCAGTATGTAATTTACAAGTTAAACCGAGGAATTTCCTGACCTTCTGTGTAATTTCAGAAACAAGGGCAGGTCCATTATCACTTGGCAGGCTGTTAGGGAGTCCACATTGAGGAATAATCTCCTCCAGAAGGGCTTTGGCCCATCCTGAAAATGTGCCAATAGGAACAAGTAAGTATCTTCAACCCCCAGATTTTGGCATCCAGGTAAAGTCTCTCTGCCAGTGCTCCCAGGGACTGCCCCCCTTCCTTCCTTCGCTGGGGATCTGCTTTGAGATTATTTGTCCAGCATGGGAGGCACCTGCCTGTGACTCAACAAATTGCCTGAGCAATTCCTGGACCTGTGACCCAGGGTTTGATATAGGCAGACAAGGTCTCTCTTCCATAATGGGTTGCCTCATGACTATGCTTCAGGACATATGCTTCTCTTAACCGTTCAGGCGGAAGAATAACCCCTGGTTCATTTATTTTCCAGTCATCGTTAATTTCCTTGAACTTCCATTTCTTGGCTCTTTTCTGATCTGAAATTGAATATTCTGATTGAAACTTGAATAAATCTAATGCGGGTATTAGTGGTAGTAAATATTCTCCTTTTGCTGCTTCCTTTGCCGTTTTTTACCTGGTTTCAGTTCAGTCTTGACTAGTAAATGGGCTTCCTCTGCCAATTTCCTTTTGCTTCTCTGTTTTCTCTTTCTGTCCAGGGCAGTGTATTACCGCCACTTGGGTAGGGCCGAGAATGGCTTGTACCACATCCATAATTTCCGGCGCATGTTTCATGTCCTTTCTGTTGACTGTTAACAGCCCCCTCTCTCTTCACATAGTACCATGCATATTCAGGATCATGAAGGCATATTTAGAGTCAGCATACATGTTTACACGTTTTCCTTTAGATAATTCTAGTGCCCTAGTAAGAGCAATGAATTCAGCTTTCTGTGCCGAAGTTCCTGGAGCCAGTGCCTTAGCCTCATTTGTTTTGTCCAGCGTGACCACTATGTATCCCCACTTCCTTTCCCCTGCTCTACATAGCTCCTCCTATCTTTGAATAAAGTCCCATCAGCCCCTTCTAGTGGGTAGTCCTGGAGATCTGACCGGCTGGAATACTCCTCGTCCGTGATCAGTCATGAGACAAAGTGGTCCTGTCAGGGTATGGAGCAGTGTGGCAGGAGTAAGAGTACTCACAGTTTTGAGAGAGACATTGGGATTGTCTAGTAGGAGTACCGCCTGGTATCTTCCCATCCTTCCTGCTGTCAGCCAGCAATTTCCTCGCTGTTCCAGTAGACTAAGAACTTGGTGAGGCACAAGGTAGTAATTGGTTGACCAAGAGAGAATTTTTCTGCTTCTTGTAGGTGCTCACAGGTGGCCACTACCGATCTTAAGCATGTTGGCCAACCTTGAACAGTATGGTCCAATTTCACAGACAAGCAAGCAACTGGCATGGGGTGGCCCCCAAGAGTCTGAGTGAGGACCCCAATTCCAGCTCCTTTCCTTTCATGCTCATATAGCTGGAAAAGCTTCAACATATTTGGGAGTCCCAGAGCAGATGCCACTGCCAGTCAGGCCTTCAAGGTCTCCAAGGTCCATTCACATTCCTTGTTTCATTCAAGGGAGCTGTCCTCTGGCCTTTCCAGAGCCTAATCCCGAGTCCACAGTTGGGAGTCCCAATATGACAGTACCCAACCATTCCCCCAAATTCTCTCAATTGTATCTTTGTTTTAGGGGACTGTATTTGAATAATTGTTTCCCTGTGGTCCCTTATTAAACTCCTTTTCTCAGGTTCCAGGAGGAATCCCAGAAACTTAACAGCTTGTGTGCAAATCTGGGCTTTTGAAGCTGAAACTTTATAGCCACAGTCTGCTAAATGATTGAGAGCATCAATGGTATTCTTCAAATAGTCCTCATATATGGGTCACTGATGAGGAGGGCCCACATACTGTAACAGTGTGCCTTTCCGGAGCTGTAACTCATCCAGGTCCTGGCTTAGCATTTCCTAGAAAACAGTGGGGGAATTCTTAAAGCCCCTGGCTTTAAGCCTAGGGGAGGACTGTCCAGCAGTACTGAGTCTTGACCAGAGTCTCTGGGTCTTTCCATTCAGAGGCAAAAGGTGGTTGAGTCTGGGTTAAGCAGCACACAGAAGAAAGCATCTTCAACCATCCCCTGTCCCCAGGTATCCCAGTAATCAAAGGAAAAGGGTTGGGTACAGTGGGATGTATGTCCTGGGGAATTTCATTTGTGGCCCATAAGTCCTGGACAAACCGGTACTCCTCTGTTTTAAGGTTTCTTTACTGGCAACACAGGGATGTTGTATGGGGACTGATGATCAAATCAAACCAAATTTAATAAATTTCTGAATAAGTGGCCGAATCCCCTCAAGTGCCTCCTTCAAGGGTGTTGCTTTTTGTAGGGAATCTTTGTCCCTGGTTTCCAGTCTGTCTTGACTGGTAAAGCCCATTTTGCCCTCCCCGGTTCTCCTGAACCCATTCGAATGGTTGTGCCTGGGTCTCTAGTTCAGCTGGCACTGGGGCAGGTTCGGGCTTTCCTTGATCCTGTACAAGACATTGCCGGACATGCTCCTGTGGGACCTTTAGATGGAGCTGTTGCTCATCCGGGAGAAAGGTGATTGGTCCTGCCCTGGAAGAGGGATGGGGCACTTGGGGATGCACAGAAATGTATGGGTTAGACTTGTATCGCCAGTGGCACATTCTAACAGATTCAAAAAGACTTGTTGTTCCAGAGATTCCAGTCAAGCCACTGTTTGAGATGAAGGTTTAGTTAGAGGGGCATGTGGACAGAATAGGTGTCTCCTGTATCAGAGAATCTCCTTTTTGTTGTCCCCCCTCCCCCACCCTGTTTTGCCCGAGGCACCTGGGAGAGGCTAGAAGCCGCAGAGCCTCTGGGCCTGTCTGACCTCCTCAGAGTCCATTCCATGTTTAACATCACCTTTTGCCCTTTCCTGTTGGTCCTCTGGGCTTCCTTCCTTTTTTGGGCATTTGTTCTTCCAGCGGCCTTTACCCTTGTAGTTTGCACATTGATCTGTGCCTAACAGGTTTCTTCTTTTTTCCACCTTTCCTATTGGCCCTCCGGCTTTGAGCCTTTGGTTTCCAGCCATCTGGGCCTTTTTACTTTCCCTGTTATAATAGTCTTAAAAGGCAATGTCAACTAGTTGAGAAGGATTCATCCCCAAGTGCCCCTTCAACTTTCTGTAGCTTTTTCCTGGTTTCTGGAGCACTTTGGCTAATAAAAGGCCAGTTTACAATGCAAACGTTCTTTGGTTGGGGAGGGAGGGGGTCTGTGTCTATATTTCCAGTAGGCCTGATAGAGTCCTTTTTGAATTGCAGAAGGACCCTCGTCCATTTTTTGTTGGCCTGCTTGTACCATATTCAAGCTCTTCTGTTTGGGGAGCCCTTCCCTGAACCCTCCTACAATGCATCTCCGATGATGCTCGAGCCGGGCAACCCCCTGTCATTAGGGTCCCAGTTGGGTTTGAGGAATGGGATAGCCCCTGCCAGCTCTGGAGCATGGGCCGGATCCTCTGACGGAGCCAGCATGCTTCCTCTCTAGCTCTGTCATAAACTATCCCCTCTTATTCCCAGTGAAAGGACGTTAACAGAGCCTGGATATCAGCCCAACTGGGATTATGCGTAGCAAAGTAGAAACTGTCGGGTCCGTAACTTTGGTGGGATCCTCCTGATAAGAGGGATTGGAATTCTTCCAGTGAAGCAAATTCAAGGTAGAGAAGGGGTGTGGGCCCAGCAGTCTTGTGGGTTGTCCAGCTTCAGTGGCTTCTGATGGCAAAGTGGAAATTGCCCTGCCAGGAGGTAGCTTTATCCTCTCCAAATTGAGTGCCTTGCTTCGTCCTCGAGGGAGACGGGGCAACCGTCTCAAGACTGTTTTCCCTAAGAGTCCAGGGTAGGGGGGAAGCTCTTAGGTTCTTGGAGGACTCGGAGAGGGTGCCTTAATAGTAGACCACAAGGCAGCCTCTTGCTCATCCCTATCCTTCCATTCCTGATCCTTAGTTTCCAGTACTACCAATACCACATCCTCTCTCCAAAATATTAACTTAGTCCCTATTCATTTTCATCAGAATCAAAATTATGCAGTGACATAAAGGCCTTTACATATGGCATCTCTCTCCCACTTTCCTGATCTTTTTTTTAAAAAATATATTTTATTGATTTTTTTACAGAGAGGAAGGGAGAGGGATAGAGTTAGAAACATCGATGAGAGAAAAACATCGATCAGCTGCCTCCTGCACACCCCCTACTGGGGATGTGCCCGCAACCAAGGTACATGCCCTTGACCGGAATCGAACCTGGGACCCTTGAGTCCACAGGCTGACGCTCTATCCACTGAGCCAAACCGGTTAGGGCGACTTTCCCGATCTTTGACAAAACAATTCCAGTTGTAATATGGTATAATAATTCAAAGACCCATTCAACGGCCACCTCTCTCCAGAATCTAAATTATGCATAGGCCAAGCATATTCCAGTAAAATACCATTTTCCTTTGTGTCATAGGTGGATATGCATAGGTAGCCCATTCTGTCAGAATTGGTCCTAGTGGGCTGCCTTTGGGACTGAACCACTGCACCCATTTGCCAAGCAAATTAAACCAAACAAAGAGTACAGAAAAGACATCAACAAATAACAAAAATACTTCTCTACACAGTAATTATACTACACACAACAGACAGATGAAGGCTTTCCCTTTTGTCTGTACAGCCAGACAGGGTGCCCTGTAACCCGGAGCCATTCAGGCTCAAGGAGAAACCAACAGCCGTATCTCTATGATCACCCGGAGCCCTTTGGGTGCAGAAACCAGGCAAGGACCATTGAAGCTGTTTGCAACCAGGAGCTGATCAGGCTCAATCCAGCTGGGAGGCAACAGATGCCTCCCCTGAAAACACAGGGGGTTGAGCTGGAGGTGGAAAATTCCTGGCAGCGCCGAGAATAAAGGAAAAGCCTTGGTTTTAGCCCACGAACCCCTGGGCCGGCAGCCAGTGGGACCTCTGGTACTTACCCAAGTAAACGTCCTGCTCGCAGTCCCAGCGGATTTTGAAACTGGACACTAAAGGGAGTCCAGGGGCTAGCTGTCCCTACTGGGCCAATAAGCAGAGGCAGGGTTGAGTCTTTTACGTTCATTTATTCAGTTTGCCGGCCATCGGAGAGAGCAGCAGGTATGATACCTTGAAAAACTGCTCTAACCTCTCCTGCCAGTCGCCCGAATATAAGGAGTAGGGGAAAAGGAGGCTACGTGCAGCTGAGGAATGCAGCAGGGAGGGGAAGAGGGTATGTGCTTAGCACATCTTTCCCAGGATCTTCAAGTACGATGTCACAACAGCCATCCTGTTCCTGGAATTGGAAAAAGGACAGCGTTCTGGAGGCAAACTCCCGGAGGGCTCAGCATCTGGGCCCAGTGACCAGGTCAACGTATAATCTTGGAAAGAACAGACATGATTTAGAATAGCTGTGAAATTACTAGTGCCCACCCTGTTCCCTCCCTGCCCCATCAAGTACTCTTTAGTCCAAAAAGATGTGGCTGATTGTAAAATTAGTGAAGTATTAACGCATAGCCTGGGGTGGGGGTGGGCTGGAGGGGGTCACTGGGGAAAAAAGGGGACATATATAATACTTTCAACAATAAAGAATTATTTTTTTAAGTGTTAAATTATACTCTATTTTCTGTTAAACAAGTTTGGTATTGCTGTTCTCTAGCATTTTTTTCCCCTGAAATAATGATGTTTGGCTATATGCATTGGCAATAACTGTCTGTGTGGAAAAGGGAGAAAATGAATAAAACAATGTGTTTCATTTTCTTATTTCCAAGTGTGAAAGCCAGTCCCTAATGAAATGTCCTGAAACAGTGCTGCTGATCATCAAAATATATGCCCTAGATATGAGTGAGGACAGTGAAATGAGGACATTTAAATCAACTTAAAGTGGAAAAATTCAGAAGATTAAAAAGGCCACATGGAACTAATTTTTGATGTCTCTTTCCTCTCCTAGAAGGAATAATTTTTGGAAGTGGGCAGTAAGGTTCATCTCGAGCATTTAAAGAAATTTTATTTTCAAGTACAGTTACATTCAATATTATTTTGTGTTAGCTTCAGGTGTAAAGCATAGTGGTTAGATAATCATATACTTTACAAAGTGTTCCCCCCAATATTTCCAGTACCCACCTGGCACCATACATAGTAATTACAATATTATTGACTAGTCAGCTTGTTTTGGTAAGCCAGTGTATCAGAACAAGGTTAGTACGTCCTTTTGGATACAGAAATCAGTTCTGCTTAGCTCCTAAGCAAAGAGCTGATCTTTGATCTGTATATCTAAGTGACTTCAACTCATACAGAAATCTTGATGAGAGAGAAGTTGTTTTATTAGGAGTGATATATGACTCAATTTTGCAAAGACCCATCTACTGTTTTACCAGAAAAAGAACAGTTTAAATCTGAGGATAGAAAATAAAATGTATTCACTGAATATAGTTCCTTTTTACGAGTCTCCAATTTTGTTTGATTTATGGTTTTGTTTTTTTAAAAGAAGTAAACATAAAAAGATAGCTAAATTAGAGGTGGGAAATATATTCATCAATGATTTTTCCCCCCAGCTTTCCTTTCTTCTAGGTTATAATTTCATTTATTAGCCAGTGAAAGTGTAATGACTTAGCTGCTCTGTGTTCCATGAATAACAGCCTAGTTGAAATATTTTGTAAGAATATGAGACCTTTATCTCAAAAGCTGAATTCATTATATACCTTACCATGCTTAGTTCTCATCGGGGGGCCTCTCCAGACTGTTAAATGGATTTGTCCAATATCACAGAGCAAAGCAGCATGAAATCAAACCTTAGTTCCTGTTTTATCCTACAGTTGTTTTTCTCCCCAAACATTTCCTTATCCATGTCCAACATCAAATGGTTTCGGATGCTCAAGAGAGCACAGGAAATAGACATGTGTAAGAGACAGTTGACTGCCTGAGTCATACATCTGTGACTCAGGAGCGCAGAATTGAAAACATCAAATGTGCTAACTAATGTATCAGCTATTAGTAATCATAATGATAACTCCATATTGTCCGTATGCATTTTCTATCTCAGGAAATACAGCTCTTTCTTCATTACACTATCATAGGTATCAAGGAAAAGAATTATTAGCCCTAAACCTGCTTGACCCTGCCAAATCTTTATACTCAGAATGTGAGCCGATTATAAAGGTTTTTTTTTTTTATATAGATGTGCTTGCCTATCAGCCCATTGAAAACCAGAAACACTTTAGAAATGTAACATTGCAAATGTGGCAATATATTTGGGTAATTGTACATCTTGACAAAAAATACTCACCATAGCCTTTGGAATAATCTAGTTTTTTCTCAGGTCTAGAGCACTTTCCATTAATTTTCTGAGACATTAGTATTAAGGATAAAAAATTGAGAAGAGGCCACGAGTTTCTCTGTAAGAATTTTTAATTGTTTAGGAATGGAAGAATATAACCGGAATATGTAGTTAACAATTACATAAATGTTTTCTATATCAATTAGTTTCTCAAATCCCAACAGCATGAAATTAATATAATTCCTCCTAACAAATCATTCTCCAATGTTTTTCCACTTATTTTTTTCCTAGATTGAAAAAGAAAAAACAAGCCAAACAAAATGCAGAGACAGCCTCAACGTTGGCTACAAGAACTCATACTGGGAAAGAAGATGTTAATACAGCCATTTTAGAGCAAGACAAGTGCAACATTGCTGTGGAAGAGGAATATATCGCTGATGAGAAAAAAAAGAGAAAAAACAATCAGTTGAAAGAGCTCAGACGTACAGAACTAAAGAGGTATTATAGTTCTGGTGAGTATTGGTGGCAGAATTGCAGAATTTTCATTTAAAAATATGTAGTAATTTTTAAGACTAATTTGTAAGTGATTATAATAATAGTAACAGTTTATTGAACACTACTATGTGCTAAAGGCCCTCGCTTTCTATACGTAACCTTTTGTAAAGGGATGAGAATGAAATAACGTTTCTGTGTCTCCTTCAACTTTGTGTTCCCATCATCTAGCTCAGTGCCTAGCAGATAGTGTGTGCGGATAAATATTTGTCACATGAATGGTCACTTCCCCTGTATGAGAAATATTTTTCATAATAACCACAGAATATGAAAAATAGCCGTAAAAGTGTTGGTAGAAATGGGTGCACCTTTGGCATCAGCTAAGCAACAGAAAAATAGATGGAGACATGGCCTAGCATCTGTCAGTTTAAAGAAAAAAATTGGGAGTTTTAGTTAAGGGGAATCACAGTGTTCAACAGTTTCTCGGAATAGCCATTGCATCTGAAACTGCCTTAGGAAAGTGGCATGTCCAGCATGATGTAAGTGATAATCCTGCTTTACTTGGATCATCCATCTCACACCTACTGCTCCTGTTACTTGCAGGCCTGGAGTATGTTTAAAAGAGAACGCAAAGAAAGAGAACCCTGAGTCCAAACCTGTGTGGCCTACAAATTGCAGTACTCAAGGTTGCTAGATGGAGAGGAGACGGGGGTCACTGAGAGCCTGTTGCAGTACAGTACGGGAAACATGGCCTTAGAGCAGAGACTTATTCCAAAGGGCCTCAAAGTGGGGTCATGGTTAATGCCAACGTGACCAGGAGACAGATCTTGTCTCCATGCTTAATACAACTTTCTAATGGTGCTCATCAAAGATAAAATGGCCTGCCATTGGGTTGGTAGTAAGTGAGGCTGTGCTGTCATCGCTCCAACAGAGGCAGATGAGTATCTATAGCAGAAAGCGTGTGGTTTCCAGCATTCCAGTTGGCTAATGTGAGATTATATCATGTATTACACAGTTTAAAGGATGCTTTTCATCTCAAGCCTTTCAGGATGTTAAGAAAACTATAACTGCCAACCTACTGAAAGACACTTCTGTGTGATCAGTAAACATCCTCTTAAAATTTAAAGTGTTGAATATTATCCTTTATTTCCAAAAAGAGGAAGAGGATTAAGGAAAATTTCATTTTACATATTCATTTACGTATGATTTACACATTGGACATTTGTGGTGTTTATAATTGTGCAGTTTAAAATACAGGGGTGGACAAAGGTAGGTTTATAGTTGTTCGTATGGAAAATAATGCAACAACTAATAAATAACAGTACAAGAACAAACTGTGTTTTGAGTACTTACAACTGTTAACCTACTTTTGCTCACCCTGTATGATCCTTTTCCATCCTTACTTTAAATGCTGTTGCTTAAAGGTAAAGTGGAGACATCTAGCTCTGTAGGGTTTTTCTGAAGGAGGCTGATAGTCCTAGCCATTGAGGTTTCTTTTTAGTGATGATCCTAGTCTACCTGTGGATGCTGCATTAGATAGCTTTTCAGTGCGGTGCCGTCTGTTGCGTGTGTAACTCTATGAGTCTGAAACAGTATCCTTCACCCTCCCCAACTAGCTCCACTAACTTCACAAAATCAGCGCAGTCATCATTTCTTCCGGGAAGTCCTCCCTGCTCCTGTTCAGGTTAGACTTCCCTTCTGTGGATTTATTTACCTGCTTCCCTATTTAGAGGCAGCCATGACTCGGACCCTGTACTTTTTGCTTTGTGCAGTATCTAAGGCAGTGGTTCTCAACCTGTGGGTCGCGACCCCTTTGGAGGTCAAACGACCCTTTCACAGGGGTCGCCTAAGACCATCGGAAAACACATATATAATTACATATTGTTTTTGTGATTAATCACTATGCTTTAATTATGTTCAATTTGTAACCATGAAATTGGGGGTCATCACAACATGAGGAACTGTATGAAAGGGTCGCGGCATTAGGAAGATTGAGAACCACTAAGGCATCATAGGTGATCTTTAAATGTGTTTGAGTGAGTGGGTGAATTAATCTGTAGATGAATGAATACTCTTTTTGATTTGAGTTTCGATGAAAATTCTGGAGGGATATAGATCCGGACAATATATTCAATATGATAGTTGGGTCAGAATTATTCTGTGATTTTATTTGGTAGCAATAAGTAGAGATGCCATCGTAGTTTTCATCTGTTCTCAGGAATGGCAGTGGTAACAGTGCTTGGAGGCTGGGCATTTCCATAGGAGAATCCAGTGCTTAGAGGAAAGTACGAGGTGGGCCTTTGAATTCCAGGCTTCCTGTTCCTGTTCATACCTGACTAGCTGACAAACCCATCTTGGCAGATTTGTTTGCTCTCACAGGCCTGACCTGCATGTTCCCTAGAACCCTATCCCAGGATGTGGTTCTGTACCACTAGGTGGAGCGTGAGGCTGCAAGTGACTGGTGATCCCAGTTCCAGGTCACTGCTTTCAGTGGCTCTAGTCTGAGGAGAAGTCACTAAAATGGGAGGGTCTTATCTGCCACATTAAGGATTTGGACTTTATTCCTTGGGGGAACTCCATCAACTCTTTGTTTTGAGATGACACATCTCAGGGTAATGGTGGAAGTGAGCTGACCAGGCGGTGGGAGACTGGGTCAGATAAGATAGGCACCCTGAAGAGAGATTTTGCTCTTAGAAGCACCAGTATCTGGTTATTAATATAGTGTGTGAGAGAGTGAAAGAACAGTCAAGAATTTTGGAACTAGAAAACTCAGGAAGGAGGAAAAGAAGATAATAAATGGAAGCGTACTTTGACAAAATAATTGAAAGGTTAACATGGGTGGTGCACTCAGGCAGACTAAATAGCCATCTCAGACTGTGGATAAAGAAAAATTGAATTTATTTAAGGGAAGGGGGTGGGGAATGGGATATCCAAAGGGAAGGGCTACACAGAGAAAAGGGGACAGGTTAGCCCAGGATGAGCTGCTGCTGCCCATCGCTCCCCTGGTTGCAAGTCTCATGGGGTCCCTTAGAGGTTGGGGGATACGCGCCTGTTGGGGATGGCAAGGGTGTGCTCCTAGGAGGGAGAGCACTCACTGGGTCCTTTGTCCTGAGCATATTTATCTCTTTCTTGCAGGTGGAAATCTTAGGGCAGGTCTCAGGGGAGGGACTTAATAGAATATTCATCAGCTTCCCAGCTGTGCTCTTTCAGGGTCGTGGTCTCACTGATTGGTTGGTGCCAGGACAGGGGGTCATTAGTCAATGCAGCTGGTCCTGAGACAGCCACAGCGTCACTTGTCTGGTTTTGCTGCTTTTCTGGACCTGGAGCTGAAATATAACTGAAGCCTAGATGTTATCTTTAGGGAGGAAAAGGTCAGGAGGTCTAAACTGCCTGACCAGGGATACGAAAGATGCAGGGTTCAAACTGCATGACCAGGAATATGCTAGGGGAGGAGAGGTTACCCTGGGGGTGAAGTTCTTGTTTTCCCAGTTTTGCCCCTTGCTAGGCAACCAGGGCTTTCTGCCCTGGTGAGCATCTGTGCCTGACTCATCCATCATCCTTGCTCTGGGGCGGTCTAACAATAATATTTTTACTTTTTAAATTAGGTTTATCTGTGCCTCATGTAAGCCGTGGATAACAAATCATTGCTACTTCCTGACACTTTGAAGAATAGAACAGTTAAAATACTGATAAAATGTTACGGAAAGATGGTGTCACTAGAATTGCCTTTTATAACAAAACTAGAGGCCTGATGCACGAAATTCATGCAAGAGTAGGCCTTCTTTCCCCCAGCTGCCGGCACTGGCTTCCCTCTGGCACCGGGGACCCAGGCTTCCCTCGCAGCCCCAGCTTTGTCCAGAGGGTTGTCCAGAAGGATGTCCGGTCTAATTAGCATATTACACTTTATTATAGATGGTGCCAATTCTAAAAATTTGTGACCAACTAGCTATAAATCAGAGGTTCCCACCCCACCTCCTTGAGTTCAATTAATGTGCTGAAATAGTTCATAGAACTCAGAGAAACATGTTACTAGGTCACTGGTTTATTAAAAAAAAAAAAAAAAAAAAAGAACAG